TGTGTTCTCAGTGAACTCATTCGCTCTTCCTCCCTCCAGGCCCCACCTCAGTTTGCTTCCTCTCCTCCCAGGAAGGGCCCTTCTCCTTGTCCAAGTGCCCAAGCCAGAAACCAAGGGTCACTCTAGTCATCTCCTCCCCCCTTAACTCCACCCCAGTCCCCAGGTCCAGCCAATTTACCACCTCAGGACTTCCTCTTCCCATGAGTGAGTGGCAGCTATAGTGAGGCTCTGGGAGTGCACCGTCCTACCCCTACCCCATGCCACACCCTTCAGCAGTCCCTCTGCTTCCTGAGACTCGAAGGCCCTTTGCCTCATGGACTCTACCTCCTTCTTCTTCTTCTTCTTTTTTTTTTTCAGAACCGGGGATTGAACTCAGGCCCTTGCACTTGCCAGGGAAGCACTTATTCCACTGAGCCATCTCCCCGGCCCCAATATCTACTCCTTCTACTGCTTCACTTGTCACCCCAACTCCACAGCAGAACATCATGTACGGGACTCTTGGTGACATAGCCCACCAACACGCCTGTTTTTGCTTCTCACCGGGCCATTGGCCATCATGTTTCCCCACCCGGAAAGCTCCCCAAAAGTAGCTCCAAGCCGGCTCTCATGCTCAATCTAGAAAGGGCCTCTTTCATCTGCAAAGCCAGCCGTGCCCCCTGCCACCAACACCACTCTGGCCAGGCAGCTGTGCCTCGGGTGTTGCAGGCAGGGGCTCTCCAGTCTGGTCTCTGCTACACATCCAGCCCCCGGTTGTAAACACACACACACACACACACACACACACACACACTCCATTTAGAACAACAGAGTGAGCCCAGAGCTCTCACCAGCTGCCTGTGTAGCTGTATTACAACCCCTTCCTCTTTCCCTTCCCTCCTCTCCACTCCTCCTGCCTCCACAAGTGACTCGGGGGGAGGAAACCGCTGTCCTTTCTGTCTCTCCTTTCACTGTGCTTCTGCATCCAGGTGACCCAATCAATGGCCCCTACAGCACACCCCAGCATTCCCGAGGCCCCCGAGGACCCCTTGTCTTTCTCTTCCCTCTAAACTCAACTCTGGCTGCGACCCCATTGGCTTTTCACATTACACCCCCCTATTCTGTTCTTGCCTTCCAGGCTGAGCTAGGCCCAAGAACAGCTTAGGTAAGGCTCAGTCATCTTATCTCTCTTTTGCTCCTTCTACCCCACCCCCAGAGGCAGTAAGAAGCAGGAAGGACAAACCATTTTCCGCCCAATTCCATTTTTCCCCTTTTACTTTTTCATTTTGTTTTTGTGGCACTATGGCTCAAACCCATATTCAATGAGACACATCCCCATCACTTTTTTATGTTTTGTTTTGAGACAGAGTCTCATTAAGTGACATAGGCTGGGCTTGAACTCACCATCATCTTGCCTCCACCCCTTAGAGCGCTGGATCACAGATGTGAATCCCATGCCCAGCTGTCCACTTGTAGGTCATCTCCATTCCTGTCATCACACCCATCCTATTGCCTGAGACCCAGTGCTCAGGTTCCTCTACATAGGTTCACCTTCTTGCCTCTGCCCAAATCAAAGGAAGCCATCTACTTTGGTAAACAGGAAAGGAGGCATTCAAAGCTAGCTCAGAGGAGATGGAGGGGCCCACTGGCCCTAAATCACCGCCTTGCCCTGTACAGGCAGGCAGAGTCTTATAAGTAAGGAACAGAGTAGAGGGGAGCAGAAGGAGAGGCGCAGGTCTCCCCACTTGCTCTGTCATTCCAGCCACCTCAGCTCCTCTTCCTCTTTCCTGTGGCCACCTGGTGTCAGCAGCTGCAAGTTTATCACTTCTGGGCTGAGGAGGGGAGAGGGTGTTGGTTATGTGCTCAGCAGGAGGAAGCTTGAGAAAGCGCTTGTCTCTGAAAGAAAAAAAATCTAAATTTTAAAGTTTGATTTTATAGTGCTGGTTACGATTCCTCTGCTTGAATGATTTCGGTGACTTTGCACTCTGCAGAGCAGGCATTCTTAATTCTGGCTACCCGTTAGAATCTCCTAAGGAGATATTCTGACTCAGTCAGTCTTGGTGGTCTTTAGAGGTTGCCCTGGTGATGAAGTGTGTAGGACAGGTTTCTGAAGTATGTAGCCTACAAGATAAGGTTCCAGCACCTTAGCCTGGCATTGTGACCATGACGATCCGGGCCTTACCCTGTCCTCCCAACCACATATCTAACACCCCTCCATTAGTGTGGTCAGAATTCTAGCTCCCCGGAGCCTGAGGTACTTCCCTATGTTTGCTTCCACACTTCCTGCCACCTACAGCTCCTTCCTTCTTCCCTCCTGGTCATTTGGAAAAAGTCCCAGCTGTCCTCAAGACCCAGCATACATGTGACTTTCTCTTCCACAACATCTACTATGTAATAGCCATCTTGCTTGGAACTGGATAAGATGGCTACAACAGGAGCAATCCCTGATCTCAAAGAACTCTCCTCGGGGTGAGGGATGGGGGTGGGCACTAAAAGCAGAATGTATTCGTCAGCTTTCCTTTACTATATTAAATGCACAGGATGACTAACTTACAAAGAGGAAAGGTTCCGTTGCCTCAGAAGTTTGGAGGCTGCAGTACATTGATGCTTTTAGTACAATCGTAGGCAGCAACACATTATGCTGTGAGCTCATGGTATAGCAAAGCCGCACATCTCATGACCACAAAATGAAAAACAGGAAGCAGGGACTGAGTCTGACCCTGCCCCCAAAGATCTGAGGACCTCCCACTAAGCCCCGCCTCTTAAAGGGCCCACTACCTCTAATTGCACACACAGTGAGCACTCCAGATCCAAACTGTAGCACCGAAGTTCTCAAACTTGTGTGTGCCTCAGAATCACTTGAGAAGCTTTTAAAACACAGGAGCCGGGCTGTAGCCACCCTGACAACTTGCATTCCTAGCAGATTCCAAGTGGTGCCGAGGCTGCAGAGCAGGAGCTGCACTCCTGGAACAGAACATGACTGCCTTAGGTGTCATTTACAATGCACCTACAGAAGGGGAGGGAGCTGGCAGCCAGGGGAGGAGAGAGCTAGCACACTCCAGGTGGCAGGAACAGCATGTGCGAGTGTCCCTGTGGGAAAGAACCTGGGGTGAAAACCCATGGGATTGCGTGGGCACCCAGAGGGCAAGGGAGGAAGGAACAGGGCTCCTGCTGTGGCCCCCGCAGCCGAATGGTGCCTGCGCACTCCTGCTGCGGACCCTCGCTGCCTCCTCTCTACCTCTCTCCTCTGCCACAGCCAGCTGGCAGTGAGCCCCTCCCGGGAAGCTCTGTGCCCCATCTCGTGTGGGCGTCCACAGCCCACCCAGAACCTGCCAGAGCAAACACATAGGACTCTGGCTGGCTGGAGCTTCCGTATTCTTGCTCTTTCCAAGAACCAAGCGAAGGAGAAGTGTTTTTCTCTCTCCCACAGCAGCATGTCTAAATGTTTTATCGTCCTCTTCTTTCCTGAGACAGTTCCCAGAACATGCACTCCACATCTAAATCGAATTCCCTTTGCTCAAATTTCTGCTGTCTAGACAAGTTCTTCGCCTATGTGGTAACAGGAAGAGAAGTACCTGGAGGTCCAGCGGGCCCTGACCTACCTTTCCAAGCCTCAGCAACTGGAGGGAAGGCGAAGGAAGGGACAGTGTGGCCTAGTACTTGCACTTGGCTCTGAGAGGAGGGTGCAGCCATCCTGGGAGTCAGCAGAGTCACCTTCCTCAGGAACCCTGGCCACAGAGAATGCATTTCCTGTGACAGTGACCTTGCTAGCACCTAGTGTGGTTCCATTGAAAACAGGGGCAGACAAGGCAGGCCGGGGGGACCCAGGAGTCCTCAGGTGGTCTCTCTCCCATGGCCTGCCTGTCCCATGTCTTTTTTCACACTAGAAAGTGGAGTGAGAGACACACTCAGGGTGGGGAACAAGAACTATCGCATAGTTATTCCACGTGGCAAGATAGGAGCAATGGTTTGAATGGTTTGGGTTTTTAGTTGCTCTTCTCTCTGCTGCCCTGGAGAATAGGGTATAACTGCCCTCTGCCTTGGTAAACTATGGTCAAGATATGGATTGTCTCAGGGACAGAGAGATAGCTCAGTGGTCTAAGCACTTGCCTGGCAAGTACAACGACCTGGGTTCCATCCCTGTAACATATGTCATTCTGGCCTTGCCCCAGGCATGCATGCCAAGCTGGCCACTGAGACCCGGTGAGGTGATGCATGCCTGCAATCCCAGCTCTGGGAAGGCTGAAACAGGAGGCTCACTGTGAGCCTGAGCCACATAGCGAGACCCTGGACCAAATACATAAAATTAAAAAGAAAGAAAGAAAGAAAAAGAAAAAGGTACTATCTTTGCTTCATTTGTTTGAGAAGTAGAGGAATACAGATTGGTGATTTGCAGATGCCCTGGAGGGCTTGGTAGAACCCAGATGGCTGGGTGCAGCCACGGGGTTTCTGATTCTGCAGGGGCTGGAGAATGTGCATTTCTAATCCATTGCCAGTGGGTGCTGGTGCTGCCCAGGGGCGCTTTTAGAACTCCAGTTTTAGCACAATGCTCAACTAGAGATTGCTAAGAATTTATCAATCCTGAACCTGACCCCTCCCCGAAGATAAAAACCTGGATCCCCCAAAGCCTCCTGGCTGCTCCACGAAGGAGCACAAGGCTTGTGTTTCCGGGAGCCAAGAGACTCCTGGGAAGGATAAACAGGGCACTCAGAGGTCGCAGAGAAGGGAAAGCCCATTTGTTGTTCTTGCCATTGCATACTTGTAGAAATCATATTGGCTGAGCATTCCTCAGCCCCAGAAGTGCAGGTGCTTATAGCAAGTGCTGAGGGGGAAGTAGGTGGCCCAACACTTAAAATCATAGACCTGCCAGGTTCTGGCCCAGAGCTGCTCTGAACTCTAAAGGGTCACTTTCCCTCTTAATGTCCTGAAGGGGTGTGGTGAGGGATGAAGGGCAGGGGTTGGGGACTTTGTAAACATGATGACAATTGTAGAGGAGCCAGGCTGAGCTGTCTTGGTTTCCACAGGAAGGACCAATACCTGCTGTCACCAGTGAACTGTTGGTATCTGGTCCTACATCAGACCCGGCGGGAGAGCCGAGACCATGCCACGCTCAATGACATCTTCATGAACAATGTCATCGTCCGCCTCTCCCAGATCAGTGAGGATGTCATCAGACTCTTCAAAAAGGTAGGCAAGCAGGCCACTTTGCCTGCCTTAGGCCTCTGCCCAAGCTTCATAGTGACCTGCCACCATGGCAGTTGTGGCTGGGGGGCAGCTGGACTTGGGATTGTAGCCCTGATCTGAGCTCTGGCTTAGCCTTGGCAGGCTGCGTTCTCAATACTCCTTCAGCTGCCACCACCAGAGCAGCAGCCTTTGCCAGGCTAGATGAGCAGTGCTTGCACCTGAAGGGGCTTGCAAGAAGGGAGATAAGCACGCTTGCAAATGTGCGCACTTGGAAATAACCACGTCGCCATTCTAGGTATTCCTTTAGATGTGTGTGTGTGTGTGTGTGTGTGTGCGCGCACGCAAATGTATTTTCTATGAGTGCCTATAATGCATTCGTTGTGTAGTGCATCTGAGCATTTTTCCCAAGTGAGATCATGTGACACTATTACCCGCTTAGATTACCTCGCAAAGTATGGCACGCTGTATTACAGTTTTCCCTGTCAAAAAATATGTTTTTTCTCTCTGTTTCTTTGAGACAAGGTCTCACTATGCTGCACAGGCTGGTTTCAGTAGTCTTCCTGCCTTAGTCTCCTGTAGCTGGGACTACAGGCACATGGCCACAGTGTCCTGAAGGCTGTGTGTGTATCAGGAGCCCCTTCCAGTGCTGAATTCACTCCTGTGGACATCAGTTTACTCGTCTGTAAAATGATCATGTGGCTGAGCCTCTGTGAGCTTCATCCTTTGTCCAATGGGGTTTAAATCACCCCTCCCCAGGGGCAGTGCAAAGGTTAAACGAGGATAGAGCTCAGTGGTCTGAATGCCTGCCTGGCAAGCACAAGGACCCAGGTTCAATCCCTGATACTGCATACCGTGCCAATCCTGAAACCCAGGCCTGTAATCCCAGTTCTGGGGAGGCTGAGACAGGATAATCACTACAAATCTAAGCTGTGTAATGAGACCCTGCTGGCCCCATGAGATGGCTCAGTAGAATAAGTGCTTGCCTGGCAAGTGCAAGGGCCTGAGTTCAATCCCCGGTTCCGCCCCACCCCCCCCCAAAAAACCCCAAAAAAACCTTTGTAATGAGACCCTGTACCAAATAAATAAATAAAAAGTTTAAAAATTAAAGATTAAACAAATGGAGTGTGTGGAGGAAAATTGGAGTGTGGCCTCTGGGTGTAGATTTCTTAAATACTTGGGTTCATAATTCTAGTTTCATCTTTTATTAGCTCTGTGTTACTTGTTACTTAAACTCTCTGTGTTTCCATTCCCTCACTTGGGAAATGGGGATAGGAATACTCCCAGGGATGCTGGGAAGGTTGTCACCCCTAAGTACAGAAAAGCGGGGAGTCCTGACAGCTCTCAGAGGAAACTGGCTGTGGTCATCTGAATATGAGAGATAGTTATTACCAAGAGAATCTAGCTCATCTCTCCTAGGTGACAAGTTAGAGATTTTGGACTGAGGATTGCTGCAAGCACTGGGAAGTGGACAAATTGATTGGAAATACCTTATAATCATCTCATGGATTTGTCACGGGCTAATTTCTTCCCACCACACAATGTACTTCTGATCTCCTGGGGCTGTGTTTTATGAAATGTGGTCTAAGTTTAATATTTGCATAAGCAAACATAATTAGAAAGATAATACACAGTGCCCCCCCCCAAATGAAATCACCCAGCGCTGTACACAGCCCAGCTGAAGAGAGGCAATGGGCTGCAGGTCTGGAATCCTGGTCCCGTTACAACCCCAGCTCTTGCCCAAAGCTCTGAATGGCTTTTCTCTTGGGTGGGAGTGACTCCCACAGAAAGGGTTGTCAGGCCGTTAGGACATGAAGGGTCTTTTCCTGAGCTGAGCCCTGGGACAAATGAGATAAATCTTTTCAGTTCTCATTTAGGCTGACAGCAGCCTGACTGGTGATGGAGGTTAACAGGGTGGAAAATAATGAAAAACTGTTCACAGCTGAGCTCAGGCCGCTCGTTACCAGGCCTGTGCCTGTGGAACAAAGGAAATGACCCAACCCCCGTGGGCTGGGAGAGACAGGTCGGAGCCTGGCGCAGCCCCTTTGTGTCGCATCAGTTATATGTAACCTGGTGACTAGGGCCAGCCTGCCCTGTGTAATGAGAGGCCCAGGGCTCTGACGGCCGCAAGACAGAGCTCCCCCACCACTCCACTTTACAGGAGGAGGGAATGCCTTGGGCTTTGACCCCTTGTCAGCAGTGTGCTTGAGAACGTCGCGTTTGTCTTCAAACTACCCCTCTCTGACCACCACTGGCGAGGTCTCACCAAACCTCAGTATTCTCATCTGGGAAGCCGAGGTGGCAACAGGGGGGTACCTTGAGCAGAAGAAGTGTGAGTTCAAGTGGCAGCACGGGCGTGGTATCCGGTAGTGCCCGCCTAGTGGGAAACCAGCTGAGAACAGAAACCCTCCTTGTCCCTGGGCAGCTCCTCGCCTAGCTGCCCTGTCTCGTGCTGGGGCAGGCGGCATGGAGCAGGAGCAGAAGCATCGTCAGCCTGTGTCCCTTTGTGAGGTTGGATGGCTGCCAGCCTACCTGCTTCAATCTACCTTTTTTTTTTTTTTTTGTCCTCCATCTCCCCTCTCACAGGGTACTCTCTTCAAAGACTAGAAATATGTCCGTATCCCAGAAGTCCAGGCAGGTGGCTCTTACTCAGAAATCCAGCTCAGCAGCTTTAAGGGGAGAGGGAGGCTTCCAGCTCTTCTGAGGTGAGCTTGGATTCTGGGGGAACAAAGAATGTTATTAGAACCCCGTCTCCACAGCTCTGCTCGACTTTTCTGTTTCCACTTTTGAGGGGAGTTTTCAAGTGACTGGCCCCAGTGCTGATCAGATGGCATGAGCTGCCCAACATCTGCCTGCCTCAAGTCCCTCTTCCTAGAAATGCTTGTTTGGGGTTCTGATGGGCCCAGTGCAGGTCACCTGAGTGCTTGCTCCTGAAGCCCCATCTGTGACCTGGAGATGTGGCGCTCCAAGTGCCAGCCTAGGAAGCACAGGGTCCCTGAAGCCAGACACAGATTCAACTCTAGGAGACCAGGGGAGGGGCTTCCCCAAGAACACTTGGGGTGTTCTTACAAGAGGGGAAAAGTAGCAAAGGCTGCTGGTCGTCCTCTGCTAGACTCCCTCACCAGAGGGCGCTCGCTACCTCTCAGGATACCTCATTCTCTTTGAGATAACCATGATGTATAGAAAATTCTCCCAAGGCTGAAAGGAAATCTTACAGTGCTTCCATTCCTTCTTGGTCACAGCCTTCAGGGCCACATAAGTGGAATCCACGTGAAACCTTGTCCGTTGTCAGAAGACAGAAATCAGGACCACTTGTCTTAGTCTTTCCTGGTGGCTCGCAAACATTCCGAGCTGTTTTCCCCTCCGATGAGACTCTGTGTTCCCTCCCTACCCTGCTTGTCCTCCTTGACTCTGTTCAGTCTTCTCTCACCCATAGAAGTCAATATTCAGAATCAGCTGGAAAATTCTGGAAAGGTCTTGCCATCTCAGAGTGTAGTGTGCCACCCAGGGTGTGTCAGAAGGACCTAGATGGCTGGTTTAAGGCAGAGGCATGGGCTCCTGCTGAGGGTTTCTGATCCAGTAGGTCCACAGCGTGATTGAGAATCTGCATTTCTAACAAATTTCCCGGAGCTGCTCAGGCTTCTTGCATGGGGGTAACATGTGGAGAACGTCTTATCTGCCCACCTCCTTTCGACAGATGAGTAAACTGAGGCCTGCTTCTGGAGTGCAGAATCCTGTCCCAGACTCAAGGTTTGGATTTTTGGCCCAGTGTGACCTGCCACCCTGTGTGCTGGAGCAGCTGGGAGGCTCTCTGTGCATCTTCCTCGTCCTCCCTTCCCACCCCTGACCGCGTCTCAGGCTGGGCATTGCAGCCCATTCCATTTTCAGCCTCATTCTATTTTCTTCAGTGTCCTTAACAATAGCCATCCATTATTCTATGCTCTGATGCCCGCAGAATTTAATTACTCGCCCCAGCCGTGATGTGAATTTGATTGCTGGGAGCTGTGGTATTCTGGAGGAAGCACTAATGAGGAAAGACTCTTTGCAGAGAGGAGAGGGCGTTCAGGGGGCCATGTTTGAAAGCAGCCATTCACTGTGTGGCCACAAGGACTTTGTCTTGAGTGACTTTTCTCATTCCCGCCCCAAAGATGTCCATTCCATTTCATAAATAAATCAGGGCTTTTGTATCCAATAATTGCTTTTCTTTGTGACAGAGATCAAAAGCATCTGTGGCCTTGGATTCAAAGCCAAGTTTATTTTTCATGTTTTGCTTGCAGGAGAGAGAGAGGGTTTGCATGCTGGAGGGTTCAGCTAAGAGGGCAGAACAGGCCAAGAGGAACGAAGTGGGAACACTGCCAAGGGATGAGGCGCCTTCTCCATTGTCTCCCAGAGAGATGGGGCTGCTCAGCCCAGCATCAGCAGGCATTCCCAGCTCATCCAACAAACATATTAACACCAGCATGGCAGTAGATAAACAGTTACAGCAAACAAACAATTAGTGGTGCATATTGTGCACCATGCCCTTGGCTAAGCATTCTGGGTATATTACATTTGTTGAATCTAAGAGGAAGATGTGGTCACCACTGTTTTATAGATGCTGATAAAAGTGGGAGCTGGGGCTCCAATCCAGGTGTGCTTGAGTCCAGAATCCACACACTCAATGGTAGAGGCCGGTGCAATGGACAACTGAGAAGGGGACTCATCACAGAGTCCTCCCACAGGGACCTCTGGGTGTGGGGTGAGACAGGTATAAGCAGTGAGTGGTTCACTGGGATGCAGCATGCAGGGGTGGGCATCACCATCGAGGGCCCGGCAGAAGGAGGAGAACTCAGAGAAGGGTTTGATGTTGGGGAGGTAGAAGTTGCAGTGAGTGTTGAAGGATCAGGGTGCCTCATCCTTAGGGGTCCCCTACTGGGGAAGTACAGGAGACACCCAAAGAGAAGTTGTGTAGTGGACAGTTGTGAGGAAGGTCTCCCCTGGCTCCTGCAGCTAGAAGAACCCTACTG